TGTAGATATCTCCGTCCTGTTGTCTCGGGATGCATCACGCTGCCTTGCCTGGGGTTAGCTTCTGTTTTCTGGGGATGAGGGTTGGGTGTGTTCCCTTACCTTCTCAAGGTAAGCTAGGTTAGCCTTCTTGTGTGAGCTTTTCAAGTGCACTTTAAGGTTTGTGGGATTTTTTTCCCTTTAGAAATGTCACTCATAATTTGTCTGTTTCCACTACAAGACACTTGTTTTATCCAAAACACAGTCATATTCAGAGTAATCCCAAATTGGACTCTGGCACTTTCTTCCGAATTTTCCTAACATGATTCTGCGCGTGGACGGAGCAGCAACACAGACGACTCGACTAACGTACTGCCACCTGCTGGCATGATTAGACAGCAAGAACAAAATCTGTAAACTAAACTTCATTTTCACCCTTGACTACTGTATGACACGCACACATCAATGAAAACTAAACACATTTTTGCTATAAAATCAGTTAATTTTAGTTAGTTTTGTGAACACTCATAGTTTTAGTTAGTTTTCCTTTTTTTGTTTTTATTTTTATTTCCGTTAACGAAAATGTTTTTTCACTTCTAGTTTTCGTTAACGATAATAACCTTGGCACACACACACACACACACACACACACACAATTCTGACACAGAGCAATCACAGCCAGATACAGCAGACACCTGTCCCACCTGCCGATCTGAATCCGAACCCAGAAGAGTGATCAGAAACAAGTGTCAAAGTGCTGCAGGTCATTCAGATTGTGACAGATGATCACCCAGGTGCTCAGACACCAGGTTGAATAATCAGATTGTGAAAATTAAACTGATCTGGGTTCAGTTTCTAACAGAGCTGTGGATATCTCCTGGGCTGTTAAAACTTTGAGGGCTCAAAGTTATTGTACACGACGATTAGGTGATGGTGGGCGGCGACTCACGTCAAGGCAGGCCGCGGACAGGTCGGCTCGCTCCAGGTTGGCCCCGCTCAGGTTAGCGTGGGTCAGGTTGGCTCCTCTCAGGTTCGCCATCTTAAAGTTGATGTAACGCAGGTCCAGACGAGAAAGGTCGGCACCGGTGAAGTTCAGACCCTGAAACAAAACCCACAGAGCGCCCACTGTTACTCAAGTTACCTGTGGTGTCTTCAAATGCCTGACCAAGCCAAGATAATCTGAGCACAGGTGATCACGCTCCCTCACCTGCCAGGTAGCTGCTGTGGGTAACCAGCAGGTAGGGAATGTTAACTCGACCAAACACAGGAAAAGGCAGGATGGCCGATTCACAAAGGGAGTGTTTGGTTCCCAGGGGTTAATCTCAGCTAATGCTGTTGTTACCATGACAACCAGGTACACAGACACAGTGCTCACCTGACAGCGCAGCTCGGACTTTGTGGTCGTGGCCAACAGGAACCTGATGAACTCTTTCCGGGTCAAAGGTGAGTGATCGTCAGCAGGCTGAGAGGACTGAACACAAAATACCAATCACAGCAGAGTGCACACGCACACAGACCAAAAAAAAAAAAAAAAAAAGCACACACCTTTATAAGGGCCTCCAGCTGTTCGGCAAGCTGCTCGATCCCAAAGAAGCGGGCTTCCTCCAGCACACCTGCACAGGTAAGAACACGGTTAGCAGGCTGTGTCTGTGGGCTGAACGGGCGCTGTGAATTTATGTGGCGTACCGAGGGGGTTGATCCCCTCGTTGATGATGAGCTGTCCGTGCCGCAGGTAGTTCAGGATGGGCTCGAAGTAATCCGGGCTGCGGTCGATCAGGTATGCGCCCTGGCGGTCACGCTTGTTCGCCCACACGTCTGAAACGTGCGCATGATTAAAGCACGCTGCACATGCACCACTTCCTGCTGACGTGAAGCTGTGCTCACCTTTCTCTCTGAACATGTGGGCCAGCATACTCTCCGGCTCCTTACTGACTAACGTGCTCCTGAGCAAGCAAACACACACAAGACTCAGATTAACAATGACCTTTAACCCTCCACGTCAGGGAGGTTCGGCTTCACAGAAACAAAATCATGAAATTTGTAATAAAGCTCAGGACAAGCTGATCAGCAGCCTCTGATCACCATCAGCAGCCTTCAGGTGAATGACAGAATAATCTGGATATTCTGCATCGCTGGGGGACAACAGTGGCCCCAGCATGTCACTCTGCACATTGCAGCACCTCCACTCCACCTCCGATTTTGACTTTGACAGCTGAGCGTCATTAAAGACTGATTATTAAGGTCATCACGAAAACAAAAGCAGCCGATTTAAATCACAGTGTAAAACCTGCCGTGACGACGGTTATGCTTACCGCGTCGTCGTAAAGCAGCGTCCACCGACATTGAGAGTCAGCCAATCGGTGTGAGTCTGATCCTTATCAGGGCCTCTGGGGTCATCCTGAGGATCTGGACAGGTGAGCGCACAGGTAGCATTAGTGCAATAAACATGAGTCCAATCAGCTCTTTTACCAGCCGACACCAACGGGAAGTCTGCACAAAAGGTGGGTGGGGCTTATGTGTCAGATTAGGGACATCATTTGGATGTCAGAGTTGAAAAGAAAAAAAACCCAAAACAAAACAAGTTAAGAGCATGTGCAGGAACTTCTGCACACTCTGAGCTCAGAGTCAAAAACACCCCAGCAGCACACCCCTGACCCCTCGGCTGCAGGTCATCACACTCACCTTCAAATGAGTCTCTCTCAGAAACGTACAGCACGTCATCGTCTCTGCACATACAAACATAGGAAACACAGTGAGGGTGGGGCTGTCTCAAAACAAACAAACACACAAACGGCAGGCATATACTTGCATATTAAATAAACAGAAAAATAAGGTATAAATAAACAAGCGTGGAATTATTAAAATGATCTAAAATTAAAAAAGGGATTATATCTATGTGCCCGGTTTTTATTGTCACTTGCGTCACTTTTTGCCCTCCACAGGAACATTTCACCGCTCACAGGTGGAAACACCTTGAACGCCTCTGCAGTTCCATGGATTCACTGTTACACCTGGACAGGCCCCTCACCTGATCAGCGCGATGTCGTCGATGAGACCGCCGTTCCCGTTGTACACATTGGAGGCTCGAATGCCCAGCTTGGAGCCGGCCACACACAGCAGGTCCTCCAGCGATCCGTACACGGCCACCACCTGCGCGCTCGCGGACAAAACGCACCGTTACCGCTTCCGCCCGTCGAGAGATCCGGGGGCGTGCTGGAGCGGGAACAGGCCATTTTTGTCCCCGCCAGCACACCGACTCCCGCCTCACCGTTATAGCTTACCTTTCCGTTCGTGCACGTGCCGTTAACGAACAGCGTGACTCTCCTCATAGTGGACAGCTTCAGCCGAACCGGCCGCTCCCGCGTCTGCCCGGGAAAGGAGCTCCTTCGGCCACAGCAACAAGCGCTCTCCCTTTCCTCTTCCACAATCCGCTCAGACATCCAGCGAGCCAATCAGCGGGCCAGACTGGAGACCGACAGCCAATCAGTGAACAGAGAGGGCGGGGCCCGTGAGTTTCCGTCAAAAAACTCACGGATGGAGGGACAATTATAAGTATATTTTATCTTAAAGATTATAAAAAAAAAAAGTATCCAACTAACAAATTAAAAGTAACAATTTATATTTAGAATCAAATAGAAGTGAAGCAAATAACTGAACACAAAAAAGCAATAAAACAAAGTTAGAAATGTAGCAAATGATTAAAATAAAAGCAATGCAGACCTACACAATTTAAAAGTGAAAGCAGAGGCAACACCCCTCAGACACTTCGCTGATACTGGTTTGAACTTCTGAGCAAATTTAATTCTTCAGCATGCTGCTGGAAACTGGTTGACATTGACATTACATCATTATGACATCGTCACACAGCTGCTGCAGATGTGTCAGCTGCCTCCATGCCAACAGTAAAAATGTGACTGAGGCCACCTGATTGCAGCTTACTCCCCATCATGTTTGAGATCTGAGCTCAGTGAAATCAGAAGCTGGGTCACTGAGGCCATAGAGGGATGGTGTTGTCAGCCACAACACTCAGGTAGGCTGCGAGCCCCGTCCCCCCCGAACGTAGTGCTTTCAAGTGTCATGTTAAAGTTTTGAAACAGTCAATTTGAAGCACACAAGCTCTTTAGAGTTGTATGTGATGTAATATTACTGAGTGGAGGTTTTCATTATAACTGTATAAATAATAAATCAAAGGCTGTGAATAAAGACTACAGACATGCCTGATTTAAAGAAAAAGCTTTATTAAAAATAATCCATATGGAGCTGCTGACAGACTGCAAGCAGAGCAATCCGCTAGTTAAAATACACCAGAAACACCATAGTCCAGTTACAGTCTGGTTCTGACCCACTGGGCTCCATAACGGTGTGAGCAGGTTCAGCTTGAGGTTGTATTGCAGATCATTTGACCAGAGTTAGGCAAGACGCAGTGTCAGTGTTCACACTGTCTGGTAAAAACAGTTTAAACGCCTCCAGGATTTAGTTAAAAACAATTCTGCACCATCTCCGCCTCTAATTGCTGCTGCCATCCCTGTGGCGCTCTGCTCTCTGAACGTCACCATAGTTGAGGATGCGCCTGCCGGCGTGCATGATGAACAGCTGCTTTGTGAAGTACACCTTCAGCACACCTTTGAGCAGCACGTAAGCACTGCCACCCTGTGGAGCAGACACCAGTAAACCAGTCAGTACCACTGGCTTCTTAGCCAACCAATAACCTTACAGAGCACATCATTCTCCAATCAGAGGTCAGAGTACATTTACCAGCAAAGCGCGCTGCAGGTGAGAGGTCACAGACGGGAACAGTAGCCGCCCAGTTAGAACAGCAATGGAGGGAAACAGGAGTGCGCCACAAAGCATCCTGGAGGTCAGGAACTGACGCTTCCCTCTGGGCTCATCCACGGGAATGGGGGGCAGGTACTGCCGATTTTCTGTGGGGGAGGGGCAGACTCACCTTTAAACAAGATCTGACAGAGCAATTCCTCATGATAGTGAGCAGAGTCAAAAACCGTAACACTGACGTTGCAGCGGCAGATGTCTAAACTAGGACAGGAACAACAGCACAGCACCCCCCTCTGACTGCCTGCAGTACTGCATCTGCCATTTACAGCAAACCTTAATGGACTTTACAAGGTCATTTGTCCCATGGCAGCAAATATGGCACAACTTAGAATTCTGTTTTATTTATAAGCAGTGAATCATGAGGAAATTTTATACCATAAAGAACAAATTCATGAGTTAATCAGCACACCTGAAAGAATATAAAAGGTCTTAAAACATTTAACTTTAAGTGAAACTGCTCATGCATCTGCACTGCGACATATTCCAGGTGTGCATGTACCTGATGGCAGCTTTGGTTCGTAGCAGCATTTCTGCCACAGCTTCAAGACGCAGTCATCCCAGCGGACGGTCTTCCCAAGAATGAGCAATACGGGGATGGCGGGCAGGCCGGAGAGTAGGAGCACAGGCCTTGCTCCCCGTATAGCCATCATACCATTTGCCCGTCCCATAACCTGCAGAACACGAGGTGTTGAGGACGCTGCCAATGTGATGCCCTTACAAGACGTTCCCTCTGTGTACCTGCACGACCGTCACAGCGCCGTAGCTCAGAGCTGTCCAGTACGCCGTCCCAAACAGCAACCCAAGGGTCCCAAATGGACCGATGGCTGTCAATGTTCTGTCCACCACTCGCAGAAAGTCCACCAGTGGGCCTAAGGAGAAACAACAACTCAGGATCAACGTTAACCCACTACGCGTTCTCCACTGACAGGATGCACCACCCTTCCTACACCTGTTAAACACCATGTGTTCAGTTTCTCCCTTCGCCTGAAGGGGTAGTAGAGAGCTCCACCACACCTCTGAGGACCTATGATATGACCCTGAATAAGTTGACACTCACCCATCTGCGGGAAGATGACCGAATACGCCACCTCACACAGCTGACATCTGATTGGCTGCTGGCTCACTCTCAGTCTATTGTCCAGCCAGTACTGCAAGCAGGTCAGGTGCACCCACTTAGTGCTTCCTCTGCACCTGCAGGGACTCAGCCACTCAGCACCGGGGTCATCCTGCTCCGTGGCAAAACACACCCAGCAGTGCCTGAAATGAGACATGAATGAACCTCAGCTTCAAGTTCGCTCATGAAACATTTAAAAGGTGTTAAAACACACAAGGCCTCACTGCAGCTGCACGACTTGTACACAAGACGGCAGTATAGCCCCTAAATTACCCAGAGTCACCACACACATGAAAGAGTTCAGCCTGAAAATGAGCAGAGCAGCAGCACAAAAATAAAATTAGAAAAAGTTAAAATTTTACAAAAATGTTTTCATAACAATTCTCAAGGAAAACAAAATGTATTAAAATTTAGAATTACAATCACCATCTTAATAATTGCAACAACTGAAAGATTAAGTTACTGGAACATCTGCATACACAAAAAAGTGAAAGAGTTCATTTTAACTTGTTTCAGCTTTGTGGAATCAAAGTTCATTCTGAGGATAAATCTTACTTCTCAGATGGCTGCAGAGCCATGATGTTACCAGGCATAGTCTGAACCACAGCAGGCTGCTCCACTCAGTCTGGAGAGTTAAAGGTGGCATTGTTAAATAGATAAGGTAAAGTAAAAAAAAAAAA